TATTATAATCATATCACTCTTCTAAAATCGTTCGATTTCTGTCGCATATTTCGTATTCTTTGCGATGAAAAAAAAAAGTTATAAACATTCTGCTTAAAGTGTTCGCTCACACAACTCTTCAGTCGTTATCATATTATTAACGTACACGAGCATGTTACGTCATCACTCGCGAATTACGTCCGTCGACAACCGTCGCAGTGTCAACGCACTTGCCGCGGAATACAATAAAAAAAAAATATAGTTGACGTGAATTGACCGTGAATCGTTTGTGATGTTACTATTATCGTTGTTGATTTTCGATTTCGACGAGTTCATAATCATTTTTAAAACGTAGTTGGACGTGCAAGACGACGTGCCAACGTTAATGTACTATTTTTTTTTTGGCGGCAAGCACCTTATAACGTGTATTTATTAATTATAATATTAACTAATGAAAAACGTGTACACATTGTTTATAGTTTTACAAGCCCTGCAGAAAATTAAGTTGTCAAATTCGCTCTGCAAACTATTGTCGAACATTTTTATTGAGTCGCTATTAATGCGAACATGTGATTTTTAAAAAATCTTACAGTAAAATAATGAAGAGAAAAAAAAAACGTGTTTTCTTTTTTGCTTAACTGTCCCATACCAACCCATGTTGTACGCGGTGAAAATTTGACCGGACCTGAACTGAGACTGTTGATCATTGGTAGCAGGAGCGTATTTTAGGGAAAGGGGAAGGGGCGATCGCTCCCCCTCCCTTGAATCCGTATTTAATGAATCGATACACATTTTAAATTAATTTTAATGTGGATCTATTTATAACGAAATCAAATTATGCATGGCTGTGAATGCTAAATTGGGCTTTTTGTCAGACCCATATAGTTCTATAGTGAAAAATCAAATGAAACACAAGCATAAGTTTCAAAATACAGACAGGTGTTAAAAAATAACTACGCAACAGTCGATTCTAAGTGGATCCGGCATTAGATTAAAAAAAACAATAAATAAAAATAATTCACCAAATTTAAATATTACCAACAATTTTACTTGTAAATTTTTAGCCTGAACTAAAAAAAAATTTGAGTTGTCCTCCACCCCTAGAAGTAAAGCTGAATACGTCCCTGATTGGTAAGTGCGGGACCAAAAAAAAAAAATATTCTGTTTCGGAGGATTTTCCGACTGTTCGCGTCAAACAAAATATTCGCCGTACGGTTTGTAAAACGGGTTGAATAAAATAAGCGATTTTATCCCGTATTACCGAAAATATTAAAGGGGGGGGGCTCATACTCTAATATTGCTATTTGATATTCTACGTGTAGTTTTGCGATTTTCGAAACTCCGCTTGTTTATGAACCAATTCATAATCGTAACATGCAGGGGCGCCGAGACCTATATTGATGTAGGGTGTCCGCCCTACATATTGAAATGGGTGGGAGGGTGCCGAGTGGGCAGTAGCTGATGCCTGATAGATGTTAACTATAAGAAAGATATATAAGAAATATATTAGGTACCTATGTAAAGTATAATAATTATCATACGTAATAAATTAAATAAAAATTAAAAATTTATCTGTTATGACAATATGTTATTATTATTTAAAGTAATAAATTTTAAAAATGTAAGCAATGAATTAGAGTTTATATATTTGTATTTAATTACCATTATTACTATAGTTATATATTGATTATAATGATCTATAATTATATTCATATTTTATATTGAATTTAAACATAATATTTATGTTCGTCTAAAATAGTACTAATCAAAACTGTAAATTGAGGAATATAAAAATATACAAATTTTTTATAAATACCTTTATACCTCTGTAGATTTCATGTAAGTACTATATATTTCTTATTAGTAATAGTTTATTTGTATGATTCTTAAATGGGTACTATAATTATGGATTTTTGCTTGTTATACGCATAACACAGTTTTATGAACTTATTAAGGATATATCTATATTAAAACTGCCTTATTGAATGAAAAGATAATTAAATTAAATAGGTATTTAGGTAAGGTGGGTGGGTGGGTGAGTAGGTGGGTTGTCAATTATGATTTGTCCTACATATATTTTTATATTTCGGCGCCCCTGGTAACATGTGAAATTCGTCAAAAGCAATTTCTGAACGATATGGAAATTTATCTAAGTCGGGATATCAACTTCCAGGCCGTGGTTTTTTACGATTCTATTTCAGACAGATGTTTCACTGTAGTTGTTATATATAATATGTATTGCAATGAATGAGAACTTTCAATGGAAGTGGATTGAATAATTCCACTGTAATGATCGGGAAGAATCGATTATTCGAAGGATCGAACGGTTCATCGATTAGGCATAAACAAGTAAGACATTTTCAAATGGGGGTGGAAAATTAGACGGACACCATTGTACCATAGTTACAAAATAATTAAATTCGATTTAATTTTAACTAGGGTGATTTTTAATAATTTCGCTAAATGACGCTAACTTTTTAAAAATAAGTGCGCAGAAAATTTTTCAAATTTAAAGCTTATTGTTGAGAAAATCCAATTTAATTTTTATTTTTATTATGTAGATTTAAATAATCAAAGACTGATCATAAAATTAAAAATAAGGCATCATTTAATCATAGCTAAATATACCTGGATTATATTTTTAAATCAAAATATACAAAAATGTGTTGAAATAAATATTTATATAAACGATTACCGATCGATTTTATAACATTATTTTTAATTATTTTCTTGGTTTTCCTTTATATAGAAAAATTAATAAGAGATTACGAAATAGATAGATTAATAAGAAATTAAGAGTAATTATGTCTTAAGAAATAGTTTTTGAGTTAAATGTTTATTATATTGTAATCTTCTGGTTGTTCAACCTAAATTTATGGACTTGCAATTTATGTTTACTTTTTATTTAATTAAACTAATAAATACGATTCTATCACACATTATGGTAAAATAAGCGTTTTTTTTTTTCGAAAAAAAAAATACGTATAAAAGTAATGGAAAGGGCTGAACACCTTCTTTCTATAATAATCCATTTCATGGTTCCCTCGTAAAACCGAAAAATTATCCTTATAAGCTACAAGTCATACAATTATTATATTTAAGTATAATGAATTTATATACAATACAACATTATTGTAATCGTTCAAATAAATGCAGACATTGTTCACAATAATTTTTTTAATAATTTTATCGGAACACTCGTAATTTTACATTCATTGAATTTATATAAAAATAATTTTACATTATTTTTTTTTAATGAAATAGGTACAGTCAATCAAAAATATAACTGATAAGTACCCAGCAACTAAATTTAACGGTGGTATCGAGTAACTCCATAAAAGAAACATAGATGCTCAGAGATGGCTGATATTTTTCGTAGAGATAAGACTTTGATCACCATAATTCATTATACAATATAAAATCAGTAGTCGTATTGAGCGTTAATTTAATCCAATACCTATATAAAATTCTATATTCTGTAGTTGTTATTAACACGCTAACATGCTTATAATATGTTATTGGTTATGTAGTTCATTCAGTTACCTATATCTTAAAATTACAATTGTAATCAATAATTTTGTATATTTATCTATTTTATTGTTGTAAAATTTATCACTGCCAATGGTCATAGGCAATAAAAAATTAAAAATTAAAAATAAGAATATAAATAATTTAATAGGTACATATGAATATTTCAGGAAAATTTGCAAAATATACATTACGATTATACAAGTGTTATACTACATTTGCTATCACTAGATTTTTAAAATATTATGCTCAATATGTTAATGAATCTAAAATAAAAAGAATAAATTGATGCGACAACAAAATAAAAAATTATAACATTAAATTTCAATATTTCTGACGTACCTAAATTGAAATGAAAACAATTCATGTGTGAAATATTAGACATAATATACATTAAAATCAATACGTCAAGTAAGTAATATTGTGGGTACTAATTCATAATGTGCACTTTAATCGCAAACTTGAACATTGTGAAAACTAAAAAAAAAAAAACCTCCGAGCTAAACTTATTTCTCAGCTTCCATACTCGTATAAAGAGTATAACACGCATTAAAACAAACTGACTATGTTAAGATTACATTATTTTAATGAAATCATAAGTAAAAATCTATATAAAATTAAACCAATTAATCAATCTAATAAACTAAAAACAGTTCAGTTTTAACTGTCATTATTGGGAAATAACATTTGTTTCTTACGACTATATAGTTTATAAATCACGGAAGAAAACTTCTCGGGTTGTAGTAATAATAATAATAACAATAATGACCTCCAAATTATAATAAAATGTTTTCATTAATCAGACTTACGACTCTTTCCGGTCGATCACTTGAATGGTTCACTAAGCGTGCGTAATGTATTTTTATAATTGCAATAACATTTTCATAATTAGAAAAATATAATTATGGATATTTTACATTATTATATATATATATATATATATATATATACGATTAAAATGTATTATAAACTTATGTAATATTTAATACAATTATCAAACAAAATTAAATGGTAAACGTGAGTTCTCAGTTTATAAGTTAATTATTTGTAAGGGCTATGGTACTTTAAATGAAATTTGTTTTCTTCAAACTTTCAATTTTCGAATTAATGTCAATTCACTGAATATCACTAATAATAATTTTTTTTCGACTTTAAGAATTTTTAAATCATGTTTTTTTTAACCATATTTTTATCTGAAATGTTTCTATATTTTCAAAGAAAATTTGATAAAATAATAGAATAGTAAACATTAATATCACTATGTGTCAATTAGAATGTAGTATTAATTAATATTTTATACTAATATTTTTGCTTAAAGAATTGATTTAATTGCACTCATGAATCTCAAAAAGGGCACCAAACAATTTTTAAGTATTTTTAAATTTTTATTTTAAAAATTAAAATGCTCAAATATTTTCATGACTATACGTATAATTTTGTTTTTATTTTGTGTAATAGTTAAAAAAATCATTCTAAAAATAAAAATAAAAGTATTAACATGATGATTCCAATATTCGTAGTTCACCACGCTTTTCTGATCTTAGTCCAGACATTGATGTATTGTACTATTAACATTTCATTTTTTATTTATTAAATGTTTATGCAATAGTCAATTGCAGAGCCCAACTTAGAAAATATGGGCCCGGGGCAATATAATTTTAGAGGCCTTTAATATTTGTTTGATATATCATAATTATTATATATAATTTAAAAATTACAGTCAACATTAAAATAACAATATTGCATTAATGAACAAAAGTTTTATTTACAGACCAAAAATTAATTTTTAATACTTGTATAATATTTAAAAATAATTATTAAGTAGCGGTAAAAATGAAAAATATTAACTATTTATTAATGTTTACTAAATTACATAAATAAAAATTTAAGTCAATGGTTTCTTTCGAGATTTTAGTTCGCTAAACTTCTGAATTAGATCTGAAAAATCCAGTGTGTCAGTTATTTCCTTTTCAGCAGATAGACGAACGAGTGAGTTTAATTTTTCTTGGTTAAGGAATATTCTTCTGTCGTTTTCAATAAGTTCTAATTTTGAATTTGTTCTTTCTGCTTCACAATTCGAAATTGGCAAAGTTAAATAAATTCTTAGAGAAATGTACACATTTGGAAAGACTTCTTTTAAATTATTTTCACGTACATATAAGTAAAAATTTTGAGGAGTAATTTTTATATTATATAATAATAATAAATATCAATCTCTAACTTTCTTATACCACAAAAGTTTGAATTTTCTTCAATTGTACCATCCGAGAATAATTTTTTTCTTACACTTTTTTCAACATAGGACAGACTATTTGTTGATAATACCCTTCCTTTGTTTTCAAAATATATAAACTTCTCTCTAAATGAACTAACATAAGTTTTTAATCCTTTTAATAAATTTACGGCTGTAAATAAATCTATTCCCGGTTTTTGAAGGTATTTACTAACACTGTTAAACTACGATAAAATTTCACTCCACATAACTGCCATAAAAGTTGTTTTAAATTTTATCATTTTATTTTTCATTGGTTTAGCCTCATGACGATTTTCTTGTTTTTCATTATATTTTTCAAAAATATCTGTTTATGTATAATTTGGTCATAATTTAAGATAATAGCTTTACAAGACTCCGCGTGACACTCTCATCTAATATTACTTAAAGTTTTAAAACGATGATTTTATTTTTCTCTTCCGATTTTAGACCATTCAAAAAGAAATTCCATCTATGTGTTGAGGTTGCAAAAAATGCATACAATTTTTGAACCACACCAAAAAAATTGATTGCTTCTAAACAATTTTTTACTGCATGTGATCCTACTAAATTTAGGGACTGAGCAAAACAAGGTGCAAATAAATCAACACTACATTTTTTTATTATTTGAGCCTGTAAACCCTCATATATACCAGTCATATTATTAGCATTGTCGTAGATTGACCTCTACAATATTGCAAATTAATATTATTATTTTCCAAAAAAATTTATTACTTCTTCGGCCGTTGAAATACCAGTATGGTTTAATATATGAATGTATGTTAAGAATCGCTCAAGAACTAACCCTTTATAACAATATCTAACAACAACAGCAAATTGATCTCTATGTGCTCTATCTGGAGTAGAATCTAAAATTAAACCGAAGTATTTACTTTCTTGCAACTGTTTAGTTATTTCTAATAAAACTTAATTTCTCATAAGGTCAATTATTTCGTTACAAATTCGCATCGAAAAATAAGATACATTGCCTGATCCTTTATTAGCGCGTTCATTCATATGTTGTTTTAAAAAGGGATCAAATTCGGAAATAACTTCAAGAATTCCAAGAAAATTTCCATTACTCAGAGAACCCAACCGTGAGTCATTACCCTCAAATACTAACCCACGAACAGCCAAAAATTTAACAACAGATACTACACGGTGCAATACTTTAACCCAATACTTTTTTTCATTCATTTTTTTCGGCCTATTGTCTATACGATGTTTAATGTTTACACGATCTAACCAAGTTAACATTGATTTACGATGGTTTGCACTATTTTTATGTTCTTTATTTTTTTTTTAAGATGTTTTCCAATTGTTAAAACTAGGATTAATAAAACTTAAATTATTTGATTTATTAAATAGTTTACAAACAAAACAGTAAACGTCCCCAGTGTTTTCAGAAAATATAAGCCATTTACACGTGTGTATTTCACCGTTAGGTAATTTTAATTCGAATAATGATATATTTAATGAGCCATTATAATTTTTAAATTTCATTTTTTTGAAGAATGAAATTTTTTTGGATCCATATTTTGAAAAAATGCTGGTCTTTTTAAGCAGCATAATTCTATAAAAGTGTTGTTTAACACTAGAGGCCACATTCCCGGATTTTGATATGATTCAATATAAATTTCAAAGTTATAAACATCCGAATTAAAATTAGTAGCAATCACTGAATTTTCTACTGCAGAACAATTGTCAGTTTCATTTTCAGAAAAATTTAAAGCATCAGAGTTTGAAGTGATTATTGTGTTAGACATAATACTATCGTTATTCATGTTTTCAACATCAAGATAACTATTATTTAGAACCAAATCATCTTTATTATTTGTATTAGCTTCTACTTCGTTTACACTATTAACAGTTTTAAATAAATTCGTTAATTTAGGTAATTTGCTTACTAAATCTTCAGTCTCCTTCTTTAATTTTCGTTTTGCATAACCACTGAGATAAATCCTTTTTTTGTCAGATATTTTCAAATTTCAATAGTTTTTATTATACACTAATGACGAACAAAACTCACGGACTCTACTAAAAACTAATTTAACATCACGAGTCACGACAGTCAACAGAATACAAACTAACGTACCGATTGTATTAACGATGTAAAACTGACCAACAAAATGTATGTAATGGAAAATACCTTAACGATTTGGTAGAGGTAAATAGTAGACTGTATAGTGTATACCCGCGTTTAGATGATAGTTTATTTTATCGATTAGATAATAATTTTAAATTCCATTATGAAACATGACAAATTTGTTTTGTAAATGTTGAACATAAGAAATAATATCTTAAAAATTCACAATACTACTTAAATATTTAATCGTCAACAGAGGCTCGGGACTAAAGACCCCCAGCTCCCCTCTAAGTTGGGCTCTGGTAAATTGAAAAAAAAATTCTGATTCCGAATGAAACTAAAAACACCGAAAGTAATCGTTAATTTTTCACGCTGTTTAAATTATTGACTGACAAAAATAAATAACAGTTTAGTTAAAAAATATTTACCTCTAGAAAAAAAACAAAACTATTAGTGTTGGAAGTATAAATAAAAAGTATTTTCCGTTCTGAAATGAAAAAAAAATATTTGTAAAACAAAAGATTTTGGCTCGAAATTTAACAAAAAAAACGATCTCCTTGTTTTCTACCGATGAGAGCACAGAAGTTGTTATTGCTAATTAGTAGGAGCAGAATTTGAAATTGAATTTTTTAAAAAATAAGTTCCAGAAATGGAATGCTTCCTTTTTTAAAAAATTAAAATAGCATCTTAAAGATTTTATAGAAATATTTTTTTTAGTTGCATTTGTGACTCTTTAAATTTTTACTTTTATTGAACAGAACAGAAGTAACAATAATTCAATATAAAGGTAATACTGTATTTTTGAAATGCATTAAATTAGGAAAACTTCGAAAAAGCCAATTAATTATTATTTGAAATATTATTCGAATGATTTTGATTTATATTCAATTACAATACTAGCCTATTTCGGATATAGGTCGTTCGGTTTTCCTTTTCGATAACTTCATTTATTATTACCATTATCTATCTTTGAGAAGTCTAAATTCCAAAACTAAAAGCTAATTAGTAGGTATTTAAATTTTGAGAATGGAAATAATTGGCTAAATAGTTAATTTAAAAACAAAAACACAAGGAATTTAAAAAAATGCTTTTTTTTTTCTTCAGTAAGTTCGAACCATTATTGCGTTTAAGGTCGACATTGTTAGGGATATTATTATGAATGAATTTCACTGTGATGTAATTTAGGTCTACGATGTACCTTTGTAATAGGTCTGTACCTATTTACTCGTATTAATATCAAACCAAAATTAATTACTCGTACATAATACGTATGAAATATTTTGTACTCTAAATAATAATATTAACATTTATATTTTGTACCTAATATAATTTCATTAAATTCCACGGGATTTTTTTTTTTTAATACATTTACACGCGTAGCATTTTTCGTTATTTTTATTCGATGGACAACATTTGTTTAATATACTTTTACTCGATTGTTGTTATATCATTGAGATTTTTTTTTTTTAATGAACCCCTTAAGCAACCGTTGGTTTTTTTTCTTGTGTACAGCATTATTTTTAACGTCAGTCAATTATTGGCCTCCATGGCTAAAATACTACGTGCTTCTCGGTGCACTATTCCATTCCACACCGCAATTTGTCCCGGGTCTGTCAGTCTTTATACTACTTATCGTAAGAACAGCGGCTCAACCTAGCAACTATCTTTTAAATCGAATGTTTAATTAAACCGATTATCTTGGACAAGCTACATTTTTTCCGGTTTTAACGTGCGTTTCTTGTGCTTTTTGTGCAGGACATTTTAGAATTTCAACGTTTTTCGCGCGCCGATATAAAAATGAATAATTTTAAGAGAATCGTCTTGTTGTGCTTTTAAGAGGTTTAAGATTATCGTTGCATTGATTGACGTTTTGAAGGCATTAAAATCCAAAATCTATATACGTTATTATACGTTAACTAGTTACGGTGGAAATGTGACGAAAATTAGCAGCTTATAATAACAACTAACTAAACAAAGGTTTATAGAGAACTCAAAGGATTTTGTTACGTATATGTATATATATTTAAGCTTATAAGTATATAATCTCTTGGAGCAAATGATTTATATATTTAACTCTTATGTCGGTGGTTTTTTTGACCGTAGTCCGCTCAACCTAAATGGAATACGATAAGAAGCTGTTGATATGATCTTTGGTTAATGAAAATCGTGTGTGCCTCGGTAAGAATCGGCGGTGGGAAGCCGAATTGCACTGGTGTATATCGGCTGCTTGAGCATTTTAGTACGTTTGATCGCAATCGCTGCGCATAGAACAACATGGAAACTGAACTCAGAAACATTAAATTTAATTAGTGTCATTAGTTTCACATGTCTTGTAACATCATTTACGTTGTGATGAACGAATTCCTAAGTCAACGATGTAATTAAAGTATTTTATAGGTTAAAAAAGATTTTTTTTTTCGTCATCGTCGGAATTGTCGAAAATGCATGTAAAATTATGTACACGTGAACGCATTTATGAATATACATTTTTATAAACAATTATATTACTTTTAACGTATCGATAAAATGTAAATAATAAGGGTCGTCCTACAATACGTCATGTTTGATGCAGAATTGTTCTTCAGTTCAACTTTGTATTCTTTTTTCCCAACAAAATTCCAACAGGAAGCTTTTTTTTCCGTATTTACATGTCAATTACAACTTATTAGATTAACAAATAACGAATATAAATTTTTTTATGCATTAGTGTTTATCTTCACATAAATTATATATGCCGATTAATAGATGATTTAATGGCGTTGGATACGACTGTTAACATTTTTTTGTATTCATGGATAAACTAATATAACTGATAACTACAATCAGTACCTAGTAATACTTGTTTTGGAGTTATTGATTTGGTATTATGTATTACCTAATGCGTTATTCAATAAATTAGTAAGAGTAATTATTTCAATCAATACATAATTATTGTTGAATACATTATAATATTATCATTACGTAAACAATGAACTTATAAATTACATATTTATTTTGATACGAGAGAAAAAAGCTATTCGAAAATAAAATAACGATTTCTGAAGTGTTTCTTTTATTTTTATTTAGAATCTGATTGTTTTAATGTCAGTGTAATGTTGAACAAGTAAATATACAAAAAAAAAAAAAAAAAAATTCAAAACGAATCAAATAATTTATGAATTAAAGAGGAAAATCAGATACATTAAAATGTCATATACTCATACATCACAATATGGAAAGTAAAAGTATAAATTGTCAATTTGTTCTGATCACCTGATCAACGATTGGAGTATTTGAAATTAGACTTTAGACTAAAGTCGACTAAACAGATTTTGATGTTTTCAAGGAAATAATATAAATCTTACAGTAGTGTGATTTTCTGTTAAATTGAGTTCTATTCATATTAAAAGCAAGGTTTGCATTTGAACTGGCATTTTATGTATATTATTAAAGGCAAATGCTACAGATTCGTAAGCGCAATTATAAATGATAATTGTGTATTTTAATACGACATATAGGAAAGTTGGTTACAAAAAATAAAAACTCTCAATATTAAAAAAAAAAAAAACAAATAAATAGCTTTTCATACTTTTGAGTAATATATACGTGTTGTCATTTTATAAATATAATTTTATATCAGTTGAATGAAAATGTTGAAATTAAGTGTCATTATTAATGATTGTAGAATTTCCTGCGAAAAAAAATGTTTGAAATGTAAATGCATTTTCAAATAATGAGTGTTTACCATTAAAACATTACGTTTTATGTCAATGATTAACTATCGTCTTTGAGTACTTCAGGAAATGGAACTCAATATAGCATAAATAAAACACGAAATCCATTTTCTTATCAAAAGGACACGTATACCACTCTTAAAAAATAAAATGTAACTAACTCCATTTAATCTCCGAAGCTTGAAAAATAATATATTAAAAATTACTTTTGTAAATAGTGTTACAAATTTACAACGTTTAATTTTACTTGAAAACAAGATTCATCATATTTTTTAAAATTATAATAAATGTAAGAATTTATATGGTAACTCAAATCAATTAAAAATGGTTTCCTATTTTGCATTCGAATGAACATTTATGACAAGAAAATTTATTCTGTTTAGAGTTCAAGATAATTT